TTTTCCAATCAACTGATCAAAAATCAATTGTACACTGAAAAGTCCAACTTTGACTTTTTGGTCAAAATCAAGTGCCAAGGGTCATTTTTCATCAATATGTGTCAAAACATGAAACTTGTTCACCAAGAAACCTAATTTTGGAAATTAGGGTTTAAGATTGAAAATTTTCATAACTTAGAAATTTTCTAAGTTATGAAAATTTCTTATTTTTTCCCAAATTTTCCCAACTTTTTCACCATGATGCAATTGGATTCAAATAAAACTTCCAACATGAAAGTTGTATTCCTCCACAAAATCTACAACTTTTATTCACAAAGTTTTCCCAAAAGATGCTTGGATCTCAAGTTATGATTTTATGAATAAGGGTCCATGAAACTTTTAACTTAGTGAAATTTTGCCCTAGTTTAGGCAGGATTTTGACCTATCTTCATGGCAACTTTTCACATAGTTCCATGTGGAATCTCAAAATTCATTTCAAATATGGATTGTAGAGTATGTTACAAGGTTTTCAAAATGTCTAAGAACTCTCCAAGATCATTTATGGTTAGGGAGAATCGAAGGAAAGAAAATGGCCATTTCTCACTTTTGTCCATGGCATTTTTCACATTGATACAAGTTGCAAATCAGTTTGAATCATGCTTGTACTTGCATTACAGGCTCTAATCCTCTTTACACTCCAAAATTGAATGCAAATACAATGGTTAATGGCATTATTTTGATCTTTGAAACTTTGTACAAAGGTTTAATCCAAAAATGGCATAAAGGTAGCATTGCTACTTTGATAAAGTTAGCTTTTACAAACTTTGTTTATCTTGAGCCATGAAACTAACCAACTTTTGCAAAAAAATTCCACCAACTTGAGGCCAAGTACACCAATTGTGTTCAGGCCTTGAACTAGCCTGTACAGGCTGTGAGCTTTGTCAACTCGCTTTTGCTTCAAAAACAAGAAACCTTGCAAAAGGTCCATAACTTGTGCATTTGTTAAAACCAAGGCTGGTGATCATTTCAAACAACCTCAGCATATTGTACCAAGATAGAAAACACGAATTGCCAAGCTTCCAAACACCCAAAACACAAAAACACCAACTTCTTCCCAAAATAGGGCCATCTCTGCAAATCACAAGCCAAAACATATTTCACTCGTGCGTTTTGTCTTGAACCACTTCAAACACTTTCCCTACAACCCACCTGAACTATCCAAGCCATTGTTCAGCAACTGTAACTTCATTTTCAAGCTTCACCATTTTCAATTTCTGAGTTTGCAGGTTGACTTCTACAAGGAGATTCAAGCCATTTCAAAGCAAGTTAAGCATTGGGAAAGGTCAAGGGAACATCAAGCAAGCTCAAAAGTACTTCAGGCCTCACTCACAACTCCTACATTGCCATATTCGAACTTGACTGAACAAGGTAATTTCCAACTTTCTATCTCCTTATTTAGACATCGTTAGGCTTAGGTTTGTAAAACAAAAATGTAGTCTTTAATGTGCTTGAGTTGTACATATGCGTAGATTTCATTTATATTAACTGAGCTAGGAGAATTTGGATGATGAACATGCTGAAAATTTTAGGTCAGAAATTAGGGGTGATAAAATCCTCTCTGGTCTTTGAGAGTTAGATCAAGTTTTTTATATCATTGAAATCGTGAGTTAACAAGCTACAAGTTTCATGTTGCAAGATTTCATTTTTAAGCACGTATTCAAGAGTTATAGTTTGTACATGGTGCGCGCGTTTTTCTGGTATGAAGGACAGGGATGAAGTGAGACTGGGCCTGGACTTGGCTTTCCTGACTTTTGACACCCTCCTGCTTACTTTTTGCACCCCCCTTGACCCATTTCTTTTATTTTTTCATATTTTCTTGCATATTCCACATTTCTGAATTTTATTTATTTTTTCTAAGCAAATAAAAATCTCAAAAATATTTTCTTTATTTTTTGCATTTTTTCATATTTTATTTATTTATTTTTTAGCATAAAAATAAGTATTTAGGTTAATATACTTTTATTTTCTTAAATAAATTTGTAAATAATATAAAAATATTGTATATTTTTATTTTTATTATTTATACGCTTAAAATAATATTTTCTCACATATTTTATTTTGTAACATTTTTATATATATTTTTATTTATTTTCTTGTGCATAAATGAAATAAATAATAAAAGAATATACATTTTCTTTTAAACCAAAAAACTAGGGTTGCCACCCTTTTCAAAAAATAATCATTTTTTTTATTTTCTTATTTTTAATACTTAAATAAATTTATTTTACATACATAAAATAAATGCAAAAATATTTGTGCATATTTACATTTTTATTGCATATTTAAATAATTGTTCATTTATTTATTATTTGTACAATAAATTCAATTTGATTGTAATAGTTTTAGGGTTTTATTTTGTGTAATATCCCCCTATTCAAAACTTGTACCCCTCTGCCCATAATAATGTTGTAATAGACTTAGATTTACTTTTACCCATTTTATTGTTTTATATGCATGATAGTAAGATTAGGGTTTTGTATGCAAAGATCAAAATCAAACAAATAGCATGACTAAACACAAAACAAAAATGCATGAAAAATGACAACACCTTGCACACAAGCACCCCTAGGGTTTCATCCACTTTGTTGCCTTAAAATGGTCATGGTATGCATGCTAGATATCTTGGCAAAACAAAATAAAACAAAAAGATCATAGTCCCTCGATGACGCTATCTTGGTTGCCTAAACAAAAATGATCTAGTCCCTCAAAAACTTGCTAAGATACTTGACAATATTGTTATCATGGTCATACGATGACCCACGCTCGTCCCGTTTAACATCCAAAGATAGGGTTGTTTACCAAATGCAATGGTAAAACAACAATGTCAAAGGAATAAAAATGTGTAGGAAAGACTTTTGATTAGGATAGACAACTCCTAGTTACTTGATCAAACTTGCAAACCATCTTTGCTATTTTCAAACAAACACACCATTTCAAAACATTTTCCAAACAAACTTTCAAACATTGAAACATTTTTCAAAAAACAAACACCTTTGTATACATTCAAACAAGAATTATTACAAAGGTTGCCTAAACAAAGGCCTCTTTTCAAAATACTTTCAAAACCACACACAAAAGCACCATTTCAAACAGTTGAAAAGCAAAAGCAAGTGATCTAAAACAAGTAACTAAGAGCTCATGGAAAACCATGGATGAAAAGGGTGCTAGCACCTTCCCTTTTCATAATCTACCCCCCGAACCCAAAAACAATCTCAAAGGTCTTTCCTGTGCTTTTTTATCTTTCCTTTTGGATAAAATAAAAGTCGGTGGTGACTCTTGTTAAACCGCAACATTTACAAACACAAACGCAAAACCTCAAGTCAGTTCTCCCACCGTATCACAGTTGGTATTACCGTTGTTCCCGTAGTAATTAGTGGAGGTATATCTCCATTATTTGGCTGATTAGTCATATTGTTTTCACTATTTCTCTTTCTAGTTGTACACTTGTTGGTGGTTACTTTACCACTTCTTAATAACATGCAAAACTTTGTAAAAGAAAGAAAATCACGCGAAACATTTATATTAAGACAAAATAAATAAAGCAACAATAATTAGCAACGTCCCGTCAGGTGTGTCAATTTGTTCACCGTGTTTTCTGGCGAACAACCGCTGATCTTCCAAAAAAGATAATTTTTTGGTTACTCGCAGGATCGATCAGTTTGATCCTAGGAAATATGCTACTTTTTGATGTTGTTTGGACGTAAACGTTAATGTGGTGAAGAACTCAAGTTCGACTGGAAAAGGGATGAGTTTGAGTGCATAAAGTAAATAGAAAGAAGGGGTTGAGGAGAGGTTAGGTGCAGAAATTTGGGTAAAAGTGCAGATAAAGTGCAAACAAGATAAAGAGGCAAGAAATGTAAAGAGAGAAATAAAAGACTTTGATTGTAAAATATGGTGTTTCAAACGTACATTTTTCAATATTCTTTCTCACGCAACGGGTACTTGAATAGTATTGAATAATTTGTACGATCAGTTAAACACACGGAAATCTACATAAACTTCCTATATTTATACTAAAACTAGGTAACCGTCGAGGAGTTGCCTTGCTCCAAGATGAAGACAAAGTGTCTTTTGCATGCGCTTCGACCCCTCTTTGCACGCCATGTTGCTTTCCTCAACTGCCAAGCGAACTATTTTTCCCGCCTTTCTCCAGATTCAAAAATCTTCCGGGACAGATACGAAGTTTCCTTCTGGTCGAAGACCTTAGAGTCCCTTCAGTCGAAGGAATTGAGAACCTTCTGGTCGAAGACTCATTTTAACTTAGAATTTCTCTAAGTACTTTTCTACTTTGTCGGAACTTTTCCAACTTAGACTTGTTCAATCTATTTTTGACCCATAAGACCAACTTCTTGTAGGTGTCGAATTTAGGAACTAACAACATGTCATTTGTTCATTTGGTGGTAAGGCAACAATATCTTTGCTTAATTAGTTGTCATTATTTTGATTATGTTTCTTCTTGTGTTGATAAAGTTATATATTGTCCTTTATATGAATTAAGCTGGCAAAAACAAAAATTCTATTTACTTATCATTTTTAAAGTTCAATACATCATTAAGATAAACATGAAATTTGAATATAAATGTCCAATTGAGGGAATTCTACATTGCTGAGATTGAGGGTAAAGTGGAAGACTAGATCTTCTTCTCTGGTGCATTCTGCTATGAACAATGGACACCTATAACTTGTTTCTGCATAACAAAAAAATTTGAAAATTCGTGGAAAAAAGAAAACTTTTATACACCTTCCAATATCCCTGCCACATATACTATTAGAGTTACAACAAGAGACCTGAACAAACACATAGATAAAGAGCTCATGTAATCTTACAACAACTAAAATGGATCTTACAAATTACAAACAACAACATTATCTTACAAGATAAGAAAATGATGATAAATGAAACAAAGCACATATAACCAAATGGATTTGGATTAGCTGATTAACTTGCCTGTTTTCAGGAATCATTCAGCTACCTTCATACCAGTGAGATAAACTTTACTCTGAATCACACTTCCTCCAATCCAGAAGCCTGGCATAACCATCAAACCAACTTTCGGCTTTTCGTCATTTTCATTCATTATTAGATTATTGACAACACTTTCCATGTAAACATCGGAGAACTCGCTCCCTCCTTTAACCTGAAATACTTTGACATTTGGCTCAAAAGAATAAGCCAATTTGTGCAAAAGCCAAATTGACTTCGCTAGTTTTAGAAAAGCTTGGTAAAAAGGAGTTCTTGGATGCCCTCCACCCATCACATAATTTCGCTGATCTAGGTTTCCGAAGAATGATGCTTCCATCTTAGGATGAACTACCGCTAGGTATTTGCTGCTGCAAAATTTCCCAAATATGGAATCTGGATTTTGCCCTAGCATGTCCAAAGGATCGATCTCCCTTAACGCAAGAAATTGGTGGAAGAAGCTCTCTTTATTGACTGTAATACTGTCTGAGTTGACAGAGAAGCTTTCTTGCTCGAAACCACCAAACATTCTTTGGCATATGTAAGACTCGAACGCATATTTCTTATGAGCTCTCTTTGCATAAACAACATTCGGTTCGATTGAGTTGGCAGCAGCGTCAAGGTCCCACCCAGCTGCTTTCATCATGTTGATCAAAGGTTTAGAAAAATCATGAATTGCTTTAGCAGCTGCTTCCACAGAAGAGGTAAAGAGATCAGGAGTTAGATCAACAGGGGAAAATCCATTTCCGTCTTCTGATTCTTTAGTTGACAAACCTCTAAGTTTTAGATTCTTTTCTAGTTTTGCTCGCTTCTGACTAGCCTCCTCAATCTGCTTTTCAAGTTGATGGATCTCTGAATCTTTATTCTGAATTTCCGACTGAAATTTCTTAACCATGACCTCGTATGTTTTCAGGAGGTTCTGTTGCTCTTGAATTTCTGCAGCTAAACGTGAGTCTTGGGGAGAAACACACACTGGCTTTGGGTTGTTTTCCCTGTAGAAATGCTTGAGTTCAGATAGATTTTTCAGCTCACTAATAACAAGTTTATCAGCAGTGTGGATTTTATCAGGGTCATAGGGAGTATGAGCAGCTTGCAACTGAATATAAGCTGATTTCAGTGTAGAGATATTAGTGAAAATTTTAGATACTAGGGTTTCCACGGCTTCTGGATTCTGGTTCATGGCTTCTTCCATGGGTTGAGGGTGGACTTTCTGACTGTTGGTCTCGCGTAATTGTGTCTCTTTAGCTCCAGTTGGTAGCATAGCTAACGCCAATAGAGGGACAGATGAACAAGCTTTCGATCAAGAAAATCAAAATTAACACACAACCTGCAAGCTTTCAAAAAAGTTTAATCAAATGATTATGACATTCTAAAAAAATTATACATTACAAAATAACTAATCATGGAAATAACAAGTAAGCAACTACCAATCTGGCAGTAATGAGATCAAACGTATTAATCAAAGCATTTTTCTACTATGTCTGATACCATATTGGTAAGTTACAGTATTCTCCAAGTTTCTCAAGTTTGAAATAATATCCATGTCTCTTTTCTCAAGTTTCTTAGACCTAGAACATTCTATAATTACATGTCTATATCCAATCCAATCCTCACTCCACATATAGTATGTCTAAAAACTAAAGATTCTAATTGCTCTTAATCATACAGTTTAAACATCTAATACCTTAGAAAAGTTAACTCTGGAATATAACATACTGAAAAAGAAAAAAAATACAAGTTTCATGATTACACCAAAAGGGTTGATCCAGAAGGCCAGATCACAAAGTCAACTGCCTACCGCGTGAAGAAAATATGTCGAATTGCCAATTGAAAAGCGAAAACTAATAACCTATCCGAATCATACTTATCTTCTTACATCTACTCACGTCAAATTTACTATGAACTACTCAAAAACAACTATCCATATCCACAACCACAAGTCTTGGAAGTACCACAAAGCAGTGTTATCAAAAAAGGGTGACATGGCCGCTATGGCGGATATACATGGCAGTTTTTGGGCTCGCCGCCTAGGTTGTTAATCTCGGATAGCGGCTCGTAGCGCCGGACCCCCAAAGCGGGATGACCGCTATTATGAGCTTTAAAAACCAAGGTAATATTTAACATGAATACGTGGTAAAATAAGTTTCAACAACATACATAATGCCTTAAAAACAGAAGTAGCAACAACATACATAATGCCTTAAAAACAGAAGTAGCAACAACATACATAAATTCCAACATCACCAAACTATAAGTTCCCATCAAAATCAAATTATAAATGTGCTAAAAATGAATAATGCAAATTCTAAACGTAAACAAACGTAAACAAAATGACTAAACCACATTCCTCTCATCTTTATTTCTAAGTTCCACCACATTAATATCATCTTGCTCATCACTTGATTCAATTTCAAAGTCTTCTTCTTCCACCTCCAACTCCTCATCTCCATTAGACACTAATGTAACAAGTCTAGAGTTATGTCTAGTAACTCTTGCAGGTTCATTAGCCCAGTGGCATTGCCAACAACTTCCCAAGTCAAACCCTCTTCTTCCAATACCAAATAGATGAGAAATAGATGAGAAATCAGCAAAACAGGAGAGAAATAGACGTGAATGGATGAGAAAGTGAAGAAAAAGAGGAATAGGTTGAGAAGAATGTGAAAGAAGAAAATAAATTTGCGTCATTTTAGTGAGAGAGAAGAAAGAAAATTTGCTGATTTTAAGGTGGAGAAGAATGTGAAAGAAGTAAATTTGCGTCATTTGAGTGAAGAGAGAATTGGAAATGACCAAGTGCATCACTAGGAGCTTTTATATTAGTCAAATAATAGGGAAAATACCAATTTGCCTTGAAAAAAAATTCAAACCTACCTTTATCTTCACAATAGCGGTCTGTAAACTGTTTCAGAACCGCTATTGCGCCGCGACGACTTCACAAATAGCGGACGCTATTTCCGCTATCGCAGATAGCGGTTAGCAGCCCAAAAGCGTAGCGCCGAGGTCCTGGACTGCTATGCTATGCCGCTATAGCGTGCTATCGACAACCTAGCTCGCCGCAATGGTACATGTCGGCCGATATTGTGGGTTTTTCCGCCATAATCCGATATAACAGCACCGCAAAGTGGCCGGTATGGTGAGATTTTGGTTCTCCGCAATCAACAATACTGCCACAGAGGAAGTCCTAGTGGTGTAATCTTAAATCCAATGTCTCAAAATCTTACTATTTCAGTTACGATATTACTATGTAGTATGAATGAAAATAAAATCAATACTACAACAAACAAAATGAAAATGAATTGAATATAATACAGGATTAACAAACCTTCAAAAGCAAAAATCTATTTTACAATCCTAAACCACACATCAAGAAGCTTATGTTAGAAAAAAAATGATCAATCAACACAGAAAGAATTCATTTTTCAGCAAGATAAAGAAATTAAGATATTTGGGGAAAAACAATAAACAATAAATCCATAATTTTTTAATCAACAAACCCTAATTCACAACCAAAATTCAATAGAAAAGCGTACAACCATACAAATCTTCTAACAAAAACAGACCCAATGAAATTCTTATGATTCTAATCTACTATCATGACAAATATGAAACCCTAAATTGAAAAAAAAAAAAAAAAAAAAAAGAGGAAAAGGGGGACAGTACATGATGGAGAGTAGGAACAACGTTAATTGAGGAAAAGGAGGTTTTGCAAGAGAGATCTGAGAGATTGACGATATACCTTAATGGTGGAAATTGGAAAGAAGAGTGAAGATGGAAGTTGTCTTGTGAGGTTCAGTAAAGTAGAAGGTTCGTGTGGGAAGTAACAGTGACAAGTCACAACCTCCAAACAAAAACCCTATTCTTGTTCCTACCTATGTGAAAATAACCAAAACCGTTAACCATTTTCTATTTTTATTTTAATCTCATGAAACTAATCATCAAGATTTCACACATACAATTGAAAAATTCGTAATAATTAAAAGTATTTTACACAATAATTGATCATAAGTAACCATCGATTTAATGAAAACATTTTATCATAATTATAACTATTTATTTATGAACTTACTTATATGAATATTTGTAATTTGTCGTTGACTTAATTTTTTTTTAAGAAACTCTAAAAATAATAGTATTTCTTTTATTAAATGTCACAAATAATATAAGGCTTAAATATTTTTTATCTACGTAAGATGTGTTTTTATTTTCGTTTTTTTATTTTATTTTTGATTTAATTATGATTTTGATTTTTTTTTATTTTTGTTGACTTACGAAATTGATCATTCTATCTTTAAATTTAAATAATTTTATTTTTTTATTTTAGATTTAAACAGTTTTGATTTCTATCTCATACTTTTGCATTTAAAATTAACGATGTTTTCACTTTTTAAACGACAAATTACTTGTAAAATATGAGAAACTATCGTATATTAACATATTATTGAACTTTGTAGATAAAAGTATAAGTTAAAAAACAAAAACAAAAATTATCGATTTTCCATGAAAAAACGTGAGAAGAGACTAAAACTGTTTGAATTTTAAATAGTATGATTAATTTCGTAAATCCGACAAAATAGAAGGACAAAAACTGTAATTTTGTATTTTATTTTTTTTAGAAATGATTCTTGAATGTTAAATTTTTTTGTTTTAGTTTAAAAATTAAAATCTACAGAAAAATCTATAAACTTTCTTGCGAATTTTAACTTTAAATACTAAAACTAAAAATATTTTAATATTTAAATATTATTTTAAAAATAAATAAATAAATAAACGAAAATCAAAGACATGTCAACTTATATAGATTAAAAGACTATTTAAACCCTAATATAACATTTAAATAATTTTAAATTAATTTTAAATTAATTTTATTAATATAAGTTTTTAAAAATGGTTAATTCTATCCTAATAGTTTTTGTAGTATCTCTAGTACTTCCTCAAATTTTAATGTTTTTTTTTTTAATTAAACTTATAAGATAAGTTAATGCTTTTTGATTTTGTTTTGTCTTAGAGTAAAAACTATAATTAAATTGAGGTGGTAGATTTTTAATGGATTGGTGCGAGTTTTAAAATAGTTGTACGTTAAATTGTATTTATAAATTTAGTATTTCAATGTTAAAGTTAGTATTTGAATTTTGGTCGTACCTGATCAGAGTTGGACCGTTACAGCTGGTTTCGGGCTGGATTTGAAGGAGATGGGGGTACCTGCAAGACACTCTGATGGCAAAATAAGAGATGGAATGAGCAAGCAAGTGAGTATAGGTGTGAATGAATGAATATCTGACCCTCTCATGAGATAGGGTATTTATAGCCCCCAGCATTGGGCAAAGGTCCCCACCATTGGACCACGCAGAGGCCCAATAACGGGAACTGTCAGGGTTTACGTGAATATGGAGTCCAGCAAGTGGACTCCCCCCTGGTCAACCGCTCCACGAGAATTGGGTTGAACCTGAAATTCCCGGTGGGCAGTTTGATGTGTCCGTTGAGAAGTGGTGGGCCACGTCTTCCAACGGTTAGATGGGGAAGTGCCCCATAATCTCTGGCTTGGGCCGTTTGGGCCTTCTTTTCATAGGGAAAATGTAGGCCCAGTCTAGATCAAGAGCCCCCCAAGTTATTGTCCTCGAGTTAGAGGGTGATGACTTGAGTTCAGTTGTTATCGAAGGCTTGGTCGGGATAGAGGGTCGAAGTCCCCGAAAGGAGCAAATCATTTCCCGCGGAGGGCAAGCACAAGCATGTCGGGGAATACCAATGGACGGACGGTTCATCTGCCTGCTCGAGAAGGCATGTTGATGGGGAGGAGTCCCTCCCAAGTTATTGGGCTCGACAGGGTTCATTCGCCTCCCGGGAGTTATTAGTTTGTCGAGCATTCCCTCGTCTTCGAGATAGACAAGGGAATGTCTCCCTTTGCGCGCTTTAGTTTCGAGCATCTCCCCGCGTAAGTGTCAACCTACCTACGTCATGTCCTTGTAGAAGTCGGGCGCTTGCTCGCCAGTCCAGGGGATTTCGTGTTTGATGGTTGAGCCATGTGGCTAGCGTTTTGGGGTGCCACCCCTTAAGAAAAAAGCAAAAGGGGCCAATGAGATGATGACCCTTCATGTGGGATCCCTTGGGGCGTGGGTCGCCTATAAAAAGGGGGCCCTTGGGATTCATTTGTCATCTTCTCAACTCCCTTTCAATCCTTCCTTTGCTCGCGGTTCTCTCAAAGCTCTCAGTTTTTCTTCGCTTGTGGTTTCAGGCGACCCTCTCAACTTTCCAGTTTTTTCCTCAACGTTCTTCATCCAAGTAAGTTATAACCTCTTAATACCATATTTCTTGGGTTTATCTGGATTAAATGTCAGAAATTCGTCTTGACTGGATGAATATCCATGAGTTTTGTGATGAATGTTCATGAATGTTCATCTGAATTCATGGGTTTTGTGTCGGGCACTCATGAAGATGTCGGGCACCTACTAATAAATATTCATAAGCTTCATGACTACTCACGAATATTCGTCTGAGTTTATGCATTTAATGTCGAGCACTCATGAATATGTTGGGCACCTATGAACATTCGTGTCATGGTGTCGGGGGATCCTTAGGTTAGTGCGTATTCTGGATCGTGTTCGGTGAACTATTCCCCGACGCCATGTCCTCTGACTGTAACGATTCGCTTTAGCATGTCGAGGGCTTGGGTTGAGTTCGTCGCCCTTTCACTTGATATGCGGTGGAAGGGTGGATTTGATAATGTCGAATTCACTAACTTCCCCTGCTTTTCAGGTACATTGGCACGCTGTCGTGGGAGCGATATTCCGGCCACCCGTCACAACGATGAACCCCATAGCGACGAGGAGGATCCTTTGGCTTGGGTTGCTCCGAAGCCCTGGGACAAAAGATTGTGCTTCTCGTGGGACGCAACGGACGCGTTTAACTTCTCAGAAGAACGCGTAGAGGGGGATCCGGCCAACTAGATGCTTCAAATACCTCACGGGGATCGAAGGATATACTCGTCGTATCCGGGAAAGCGGTTCCCAATGTATGAGTTTGCTTTCAAGGAGGCGGGGATGCGCCTGCCTTTTAATGATTTCCAGGTCGGGGTTTTCCAGTGGCTCCAACTGGCACCTTCTCAACTTCATCCGAATGTGTTGGCGTTCATGCGGGCGTTCGAGCTCGTCTGCCAATATCTAGGGATAGGCGCCATGCTGCCCCTCTTCTTCTATATCTTTCACTTGCAGAGACAATCTGTCCACGGGAGACAAGCGTGGGTCTCTTTTAAGCAGTTCGGGAAGCTCTTTCGACCTTACCTGGAGTCCGTGCGAAAAATTTAAGGAGAGGTACTTCGTCGTGAAACCCTTGACGGACGCGGCCATAGATTCTCTTTATGCCCGGGTCGAAGAGGTGGAGGATGGGCGACCAGTTACCCGACTCATGGCCTGTTTCCCGCTTGAATGGCAATGGAGACATTACGAGCAGAGGCCCGAATATTATGCGGTGAGGCCCGAGGATTTGGATGCCCAAGATCAGCTTTCGTACAAGAAGTTATCTACATATGTTAAAGGGTTCTCCCCCGCGAAATGCGTGGACGTGAATGGTGCCCTTTTGTTTGAAGAGGAAGGGGAGTATTTATTGGTCAATAGGTTGATCAATACTAAGGCTTTGCTCGAGTGCTCCTCGAATGGGGAAGCCATGAGGCTCTTGGGTAAGGCGCAACTATTTAT